TAGTCTATAGTCTAGTCTAGTCTATAGTCTAGTCTAGTCTATAGTCTAGTCTATAGTCTAGTCTATAGTCTAGTCTAGTCTATAGTCTAGTCTAGTCTATAGTCTAGTCTATAGTCTAGTCTATAGTCTAGTCTATAGTCTAGTCTATAGTCTAGTCTATAGTCTAGTCTATAGTCTAGTCTATAGTCTAGTCTATAGTCTAGTCTATAGTCTAGTCTATAGTCTAGTCTATAGTCTAGTCTATAGTCTAGTCTATAGTCTAGTCTATAGTCTAGTCTATAGTCTAGTCTATAGCCTAGTCTATAGTCTAGTCTATAGTCTAGTCTATAGTCTAGTCTATAGTCTAGTCTATAGTCTAGTCTATAGTCTAGTCTATAGTCTAGTCTATAGTCTAGTCTATAGTCTAGTCTATAGTCTAGTCTATAGTCTAGTCTATAGTCTAGTCTATAGTCTAGTCTATAGTCTAGTCTATAGTCTAGTCTATAGTCTAGTCTATAGTCTAGTCTATAGTCTAGTCTATAGTCTAGTCTATAGTCTAGTCTATAGTCTAGTCTATAGTCTAGTCTATAGTCTAGTCTATAGTCTAGTCTATAGTCTAGTCTATAGTCTAGTCTATAGTCTAGTCTATAGTCTAGTCTATAGTCTAGTCTATAGTCTAGTCTATAGTCTAGTCTATAGTCTAGTCTATAGTCTAGTCTATAGTCTAGTCTATAGTCTAGTCTATAGTCTAGTCTATAGTCTAGTCTATAGTCTAGTCTATAGTCTAGTCTATAGTCTAGTCTATAGTCTAGTCTATAGTCTAGTCTATAGTCTAGTCTATAGTCTAGTCTATAGTCTAGTCTATAGTCTAGTCTATAGTCTAGTCTATAGTCTAGTCTATAGTCTAGTCTATAGTCTAGTCTATAGTCTAGTCTATAGTCTAGTCTATAGTCTAGTCTATAGTCTAGTCTATAGTCTAGTCTATAGTCTAGTCTATAGTCTAGTCTATAGTCTAGTCTATAGTCTAGTCTATAGTCTAGTCTATAGTCTAGTCTATAGTCTAGTCTATAGTCTAGTCTATAGTCTAGTTTATAGTCTAGTCTATAGTCTAGTCTATAGTCTAGTCTATAGTCTAGTCTATAGTCTAGTCTATAGTCTAGTCTATAGTCTAGTCTATAGTCTAGTCTATAGTCTAGTCTATAGTCTAGTCTATAGTCTAGTCTATAGTCTAGTCTATAGTCTAGTCTAGTCTATAGTCTAGTCTATAGTCTAGTCTATAGTGTAGTCTATAGTCTAGTCTATAGTCTAGTCTATAGTCTAGTTTATAGTCTAGTCTATAGTCTAGTCTATAGTCTACTCTATAGTCTAGTCTAGTCTATAGTCTAGTTTATAGTCTAGTCTATAATCTAGTCTATAGTCTAGTCTATAGTCTAGTCTATAGTCTAGTCTATAGTCTAGTCTATAGTCTAGTCTATAGTCTAGTCTATAGTCTAGTCTATAGTCTAGTCTATAGTCTAGTCTATAGTCTAGTCTATAGTCTAGACTACAGTCTAGTCCATAGTCTAGTCTATAGTCTAGTCTAGTCTATAGTCTAGTCTAGTCTAGTCTAGTCTATAGTCTAGTCTATAGTCTAGGCTATATTCTAGTCTATAGTCTAGTTTATAGTCTAAATTATAGTCTAATCTATAGTCTAGTCTAGTTCATAATCTAATCTGGGTTAAAAGTTTCAATATGTAAAGAAATTTCGGAATTTTATATCTTTTCCCAAATTTCTTATTCCATTTTAATGACATTTACTTTATTATTCTAGACTTATTTTAACAAATAACTTTATAGTTATTTATTTACATAATAAAAACTATTTTTATTTTTAATACACTTTAACCACATTCATGTCATTCATTACTGTCATCCATCCACTGTAATGCACTGTGTATTGTGACTCACATGTATGTAAATTTCATGCTTCATTTATTGTTAGCAGTTTGACTTCAAGTTTTTACAAAAATGCATTAAATTACATTTTGTCTACATTTTATTGTAACTTTTTCTATAGGTATTCTTTTCTAAAAGAAAAAAAAATAAAGAACTTAATGATTCTATTGATTACTATTGACCATGTTTACTTATTTAACAATGCGAGTGTTCTTAGATTTCCGTATAATTCTTTAGTTTTTGTATTTAAATACAATACAAATTTATTGTTATTCTCATAAATAGTTCAAAACATGTCACGATTTGCAAATAAGCTAAACGTAGTGTCATTCAATTTTTATAGTCAGTCACTGTGATATTTTTGTGACTGGGAGAATTGCGGAAAAATAGAAATATAGCTAAAGGTTTTGCTAGGTTAAGGGTTTGAAGTTTTCAAGATAAACTTCAACGAAGTATAACAATATATGTAAAGTGTAACCATTAATCTATGTCACATGAAATTAATTTAAAGAATTCATATTTCATAAAATCCCCCACTTTTAAATAATGGTTCACGTAGTGGCCAGTCATGTAAGAATGCAGGGCTATAAAACAATAAGCAACTAGAATCTGTTGCAAAAAGGTATTTGTATATCGCAGCAATAGGGTTATTTTTAACGTTTGTTAAGCTTATTTTATTTTATTTTATTTTTTTTTTTTTTTGTATTTAATTGTGTTAGATAAATTGGTTTTTAAATAATTAAATGGAATTTATGGAATAATTTGACTAATTGTCTAATATAGCTGAGGGTATAACAATTTTTCATTAGGTTTATAAATAGTTGTAATTTACATATTCAAACCCTTAAGGTGAATAGATATGAGTCAGGTTTAAATAATGTAAACCTCTATATCTAACACAGTAATATAGTGAAGCGATCGATGTATTTATGGTGATTGTTTATCCAACCAATTTTAAGTATAAATATCTTCCTAGAATCCTTATCTACGTCGAATTAATAATGTCCACTAAACCGTTCTTGAATTAAGCTACAGTTTCGATTTTAAAAATTATTCGATCTATATCAAGCTCCGTGACTCGGTGATCCATTTTCTTATACCAAGAATTTTTCTTGTTTTCTATTGATCATCATTCTAAGAAATCTAATTTAAGACCATGTTTTCCGCTATTGATTTATAAGACAACTCCAACTAAATTGTGTTTGAAATTAATACGATCTATGATCACTTTTATCATGTGCCTCTGAATGCTCTTATCTCTTATCATTCAGTAAAAAACATAAAATATGAAATGCTATTGTTTTATTTTATCAATAAAAGATCACTCACGGTAAAGAGATCACTAGTTGATGTTATGTAGCGGAAAAGAGCAAGCATTCGATGAGTAAACGCTTTCTCTTCGGCTTTGTTGCTCTAAAAGGGAGAGTAGAACGTAAACTTTTTAGCTTTTTCTGGATATAATTTGAATGTGCCTGAATGATTCAAAGTGGGATTTTCTTCCAATTATGCGACTCCTCATGGATCACTGATCATGAACCAATGAACTACTATTAAGTGATGATAATGCCTGGAAGAACTTAAACTATATTTCATAATGTGTGACCGATTACAGTGGTCTGTACTTAAAAGGTACAATATCTGCCAGAAGTGATCTACAAAATCTTGATTTAGCTTTAAGTTCTTTTCCTAGATGGTGAAAGTTTAATTTAATGAATTGGTCTCTGATAACAGCACGATAGTGTATTGTTATAAAGTTCAACAGATACGGTAAAATGAGTCTGTCCTATTGTTTAGGAGAAGTATGAAAATGAGAGTTTAAGTAATGCTTTCGACTCTAAGGATAATAGCATTGCTGAGAGTAGATCGATGTAGTCAAAGATGTAGAAAGACAAAGAAAATAAAAGAAAACTACAACCGTTTTTGGCTCGATTTTGATAAAATATCGGTCAAGAATTACCGGACTTAGAGGGGTTCAAAGTTGGATATTTTGGTCATACAGGGTTTTATTCAAATGAGTGTAACGTTTTACCTATTGGTCCTAGCAAAAATTGTCCAAGGGATTTCAGATAGCTATTTCTTCATTATTTCCTCTAAGTCCGGCAGTTCTTAACGAATAGAGCTGATAGTAGCCGTCTCGTCTACTATCCCATAGTACTAACCTTGGTGCAAATTTAAGCCAAATCGGAAGACATCGATTTTAAAAGTTATCTCACTTGACACGAAATTGCCCATATATTACGATCACTGTTTTTAAACATTTGTATTCAAGCTATAATTCTTTTATAAAGATTTTTATAATCTTAAAAACTTATCTAAAGTGAAGTCATCATTAGAATCCTCCAAAAGAAAATACTTTATTCTTTCAAACTCTACAACATGATGACATAGTAAAAAAACATTATTCTAAACATATTTCAACCTTGATTTTCATTGTTCTTCTCTAACTGCTAATTTATTCTAAACATTTTGGTTAAATTTAGCAAATCACATTAAGAAAAAATTCTATAAAGAAATAATTATCATCATTACAAAAGCATTAAACAAAGAATGAGTGTCATGAAAACTTTAGCAAATTCTAACATAAATATAGAAAAAAAAAAGCTATTGTTTAGAGGAAAAAAAAAGTTCTTAATGAAGAAATAATAAGACAAGAATAAATACATAAAATACTAAATAATTTACTAGAAAAATTGTGCACGGTTAGTTAGCAAATGGAATAAATTAATAAAACAAAAGAAATACTTTATGATAAACTACAGCAAATGTGATGATCTAACATGACTCTAAAGAGTGTTGTTGAGCGGCTAAATAAAAAAGTAAACAAATTATATGGACATTAGAATATTCTTAGGTAAATAGATTTAAACAATTAGAAATAACTTATAATATGGAAAACAATTTGTTTAACAAGGGGGCGTAAAGCTTGACAGGTTAATTAGTTTTACTTAAACAAAGTGAATGAGCTTAAAAGGTCACTTCAAACAGATTATATGAATGTTAATGTTAATTTAATTTATTAAATTAGATAATAGAGTTAATAACGTTTACGATTTAATATTTTCTTTTAATCTTTTGCATATTTGCAGATGAATTTCCCGAGGAGGATTCAGATATGCTAATGGAACCCAATGATTTTGGTCCTATAACTATATTACGCTCCCAAGAGCGTCAATTTCATGAACCACCTTCTACACAACAATTTCGTCCTCTGCCTAATGCTAGATATGTAGCCAGATCAGATGTTTCTAGTGCTGCACATGTTAGCCCCATCGATTCCCATTCACAAGCGGCTCAAAATTACTATCCACCCTTTTTCAGGGAGGCACCACCCCTAGGACACTCTCGCCCTTATTTCCCCCTATCAGATGCTCCTATAGTACCCAAGTATGCTGAAGCCAGACCCGAAGGTAATCTAGGACCCGGTCTGCCTCCCAATCAAAGAGCTGCTGGTTTTGATCATAGTATTTTGGGTTCTGGAGATTTTGGTGTTATACGTGGCGGTACTTTCTATCCTGAAGAAGAAATGCCCTATCATCCCGAGGATAGCATAGACTTTGTACAGAAATACACTTATCCTGAAGAACAATTTGCTCATTTCCGTGATTTTGCCGACATAAATACACCCGTCGATACTGCCTTCTCACACTTTGTGGTTGTCTATCAAGCCAAGAATTCCACAAAACCAGCTTCACATCCTCATCCGAAAAATATTTTCGAACAATTAGAGCTATTAGATAAGGAAAAGGCTGCTGAGGAAAAGAAATTGAAAAAACCCAAACATCCCAGTAAGTCAAAAACGAAGTTGGCCAAAACAAAATTGCAACAAAAGAAATATAAGAAAAAAGCTAGCACCTCACCATCAACGGTGGCAAAAGATATTGAAGAAGAACCTTTATTGGCTTTAAGTTAAAATTTCTGTTTTTAAAGGGATTGTGCAAAATTCTTTTTTTTTTTAATCATAAAAAAATACATTATTTTAAATTTAATTTATTAATTTTAAAGCGCAACAAAGAAATTTCATATTCAGCATTTTGTATTTTTTTCGTGAAAAATCGTAACATTATTTCTTATTGTCATTAGTTTAATCAATTTGTTTTTTTTTTGAACTACAATATTTACATGGAGCAAAAAACAACCAAAATTATTAAGAAAAATTTAAGCATATTTTCATTTAATTAAAATTTTCTTATTTTTATGTTAAAAACCACAAAAAAACATATTAAGTTAAATGTACAAAAAATGTAAGAAAAATCTTTCAATCATTATTAGCAGTATATTAATTTCATATTCCATTTTTAATTTCTTTGCTTTTTATTTTCTGGATATAAAATTTTCATCTTTTTTACAACTTTTTCCAAAGAATGGTCATACATTTTGGTTCATTTCCCTTACTTCATAAACGTTTGTATTTATAACTCATTAAATGAAAAAATACTTGAAATCTTCTTAACAGACTTAAAATCTCTTGATAGCTATACAAATGGAGTGCAATCATAGCGCTCACATTCTTCTTCAGATCTTCGTGTACTAGTTTTCCTTCCTTAAATATGAGCGTAAACCCAGACATTTACAAACACAAGCAAATAATATCAGAGAGTTTGTTTAATACTATTACTGACAACTTTTTCTGCAGAAAGGATAATCAGATTATGACTGATTCTGACTACTTCTCCTATAGAAAATATAGTCAGATTCTGACTACTTTTCTTATAGAAAATATAGTCAGATTTTGACTAATTTTCTTATAGAAAAGATGGTCAGATTCTGACACTCTTCTTATAGAAAATATACTCAGATTCTGATTACTTTTCCTATAGAAAATTTAGTCAGATTCTGACTACTTTTCCAAAAGAAAACATAGTCAGATTCTGAGTACTTTCTCTGTAGAAAATTTAGTCAAATTCTGACTACTTTTCTTATAGAAAATATAGTCAGATTTTGACTAATTTTCTTATAGAAAAGATGGTCAGATTCTGACAACTTTTCTTATAGAAAATATACCCAAATTCTGATTACTTTTCCTATAGAAAATATACTCAGATTCTGATTACTTTTCTTATAGAAAATATAGTCAGATTTTGACCAATTTTCTTATAGAAAACATAGTCAGATTCTGACAACTTTTCTTATAGAAAATATACTCAGATTCTGATTACTTTTCCTATAGAAAATATAGTCAGATTTTGACTACTTTTCCCATAGGAAACATGGTCAGATTCTGACCACTTTTTCTATGAAAAATATAGTCAGATTATGACTACTATTCCTATAGAAATCAAAGTCAGATTCTGACTACTTTCTCTGTAGAAAATGTAGTCAGATTCTAACTACTTTTCTTATAGAAAATATAGTCTGATTTTGACTACTTTTCTTATAGAAAATATAGCCATTTTTTGACTAATTTTCCTATAGAAAATATGGTCAGATTCTGACTACTCTTCTTATAGAAAATATACTCAGATTCTGAATACTTTTCCTATAGAAAATATAGTCAGATTCTGACTACTTTTCCCAAAGAAAACATAGTCAGATTCTGACTACTTTCTCTGTAGAAAATTTGGTCAGATTCTGACTACTTTTCTTATAGAAAATATACTCAGATTCTGACTACTTTTCCTATAGAAAATATAGTCAGATTCTGACTACTTTTCCCATAGGAAACATGGTCAGATTCTGACTACTTTTCCTATAGAAAACAAAGTCAGATTCTGACTACTTTCTCTGTAGAAAATGTAGTCAGATTCTGACTACTTTTCTTACAGAAAATATAGTCTGATTTTGACTACTTTTTTATAGAAAAGATAGTCAGATTTTGACTACTTTTCTTATAGAAAAGATAGTCAGATTTTGACTACTTTTCTTATAGAAAAGATAGTCAGATTTTGACTACTTTTCTTATAGAAAAGATAGTCAGACTCTGACTACCTTTCTTATAGAAAATGTAGTCAGATTCTGACTACCTTTCTTATAGAAAAGATAGTCAGATTCTGATTATTTTGCTATGGCAATGATAGTCAGATTCTGACTACTTTTCTTATGGAAAATATAGTTAGATTCAGACCACTTTTCCTATAGAAAATATTGTCAGATTCTGACTACTTTTCCCAAAGAAAACATAGTCAGATTCTGACTACTTTCTCTGTAGAAAATTTGGTCAGATTCTGACTACTTTTCTTATAGAAAATATACTCAGATTCTGACTACTTTTCCTATAGAAAATATAGTCAGATTCTGACTACTTTTCCCATAGGAAACATGGTCAGATTCTGACTACTTTTCCTATAGAAAACAAAGTCAGATTCTGACTACTTTCTCTGTAGAAAATGTAGTCAGATTCTGACTACTTTTCTTACAGAAAATATAGTCTGATTTTGACTACTTTTTTATAGAAAAGATAGTCAGATTTTGACTACTTTTCTTATAGAAAAGATAGTCAGATTTTGACTACTTTTCTTATAGAAAAGATAGTCAGATTTTGACTACTTTTCTTATAGAAAAGATAGTCAGACTCTGACTACCTTTCTTATAGAAAATGTAGTCAGATTCTGACTACCTTTCTTATAGAAAAGATAGTCAGATTCTGATTATTTTGCTATGGCAATGATAGTCAGATTCTGACTACTTTTCTTATGGAAAATATAGTTAGATTCAGACCACTTTTCCTATAGGAAATATTGTCAGATTCTGACTACTTTTCGAATAAAAAATTAAGTCAGATTCTGTCTACTTTCCCAGATTTTGACTACTTTTTCTGTAAGCTTCTGAGTACATTTTCTATAGAAAAGTTTCTGTCTTCTTTTCCTATAGAAAATATAATCAGTTTCTGACTACTGTTTCTATAGAACTAATAGTTAGATTCTAACTTAATTTCCCACAGAAAGTAAAGAAGTTACTTTTTAATGACCATTCCATATTCTTTTACTTTCAATTTTTTTTTCATTTTTATTTAAACATTTCAATATTTTCCTTTCAATATTGTATTTTTTTTTCTTCAAAATCATTATGTTAGCCACAAAATAAAATACTCATTACATTAGTTACATTATGTACTTTTACATTTAGATTTGTACGTAAACAAACAAAAAAAAAATCGTTTATATAAATTTAAATAATGAAATTTATATGTATGATTATTTTTTATTTTGTTTAAAAAAAATATCATAAAAAAATTAGTTTATAAGCAAAATTTCATGTAAAAACGCATCTTCATAATTATTGAATAAATTATTTGTTTTTATAAATAAAAATTGGTTATTCAAAAATAAATTTTTTATAAGCAACAGGTAAGTTAAAAATAATTTAAAAACTAACGAATATAAATATTGAAACTCTATTTATTTTATATCTAAATGAATGGTAATTTTTCAAAAAAGCTCTCATTGACATAAGACCAGTTATTTTGACAGTTATTGTAGATATTTATATACATATGTGAAAAGAATATTTCATGAATAACGTTACTTTTGTGTCAGTTAAATGCAAATGATTTCAAAGTCTTTTTTTCGAAATTTGCATTTGATGATATGTGTCGTAATCTTTAGAAGTTACTTCATGCTGTGCAGTTTAACTTTAACTTTAAGAACAAACTAAAAAATAATGTACTTTACAAAGACATAAATATTGTAATACCAGCATTTTTGTTATATAAATATTGAAATTATATTGAACTACTGAATTGTAAATATAATCTTAGATAAAACAGGTACGAGTACAAACAGTGAACGAGTAGTTTTTTTTTCGTTCATATAATGTCTAGTAGATTCGCACATTTGTTAAACACTCAATGTCAGTAAAAACGACATGATTAAAATGCAATCGAAATCATTGTGACAGAGTTGACAGATGTCGAAAATAATTAGTGGGAAAAGGAACCCGCATTCTGTCATACCAGATTTTTCTACAGAAATGGATTTCATATACTGTCTACTTTTCCTAAAGAAATTGCTATATTAGAAGTACTCACGCACTGACTACTTTTGCTGCGGAACTGGTTCTTAAATTTTGAATACTTTTTCTATAGAAAAGGTACTCAGATTCTGACTACCTTTCCTATATTAAAGGTGTTCAGATTCGTTAGAGGCCTAGGTGTATTTCGCCGAATTTAATGTTCATACATATATAAACCTACTTTCTAACCAACCAACCAACCAACCAACCAACCAACCAACCAACCAACCAACCAACCAACCAACCAACCAACCACCAACCAACCAACCAACCAACCAACCAACCAACCAACCAACCAACCAACCAACCAACCAACCAACCAACCAACCAACCAACCAACCAACCAACCAACCACCACCACCAACCAACAACCAACCAACCAACCAACCAACCAACTAACTAACTAACTAACTAACTAACTAACTAACTAACTAACTAACTAATTAACTAACTAATTAACTAACTAACTAACTAACTAACTAACTAACTACTAACTAACTAACTAACTAACTAACTAACTAACTAACTAACTAACTACTAACTACTAACTAACTAACTAACTAACTAACTAACTAACTACTAACTACTAACTAACTAACTAAATAACTACTTACTAACTAAATAACTAACTAACTAACTAACTAACTAACTAACTACTAACTAACTAACTAACTAACTAACTACTAACTAACTAACTAACTAACTAACTAACTAACTAACTAACTAACTAACTACTACTAACTAACTAACTAACTAACTAACTAACTAACTAACTAACTAACACTAACTAACTAACTAACTAACTAACTAACTAACTAACTAACTACTAACTAACTAACTAACTACTAACTAACTACTAACTAACTAACTAACTAACTAACTAACTAACTAACTAACTAACTAACTAACTAACTAACTAACTAACTAACTAACTAACTAACTAACTAACTAACTAACTAACTAACTAACTAACTAACTAACTAACTAACTACTAACTAACTAACTAACTAACTAACTAACTAACTAACTAACTAACTAACTAACTAACTAACTAACTAACTAACTAACTAACTAACTAACTAACTAACTAACTAACTAACTAACTAACTAACTAACTAACTAACTAACTAACTAACTAACTAACTAACTAACTAACTAACTAACTAACTAACTAACTAACTAACTAACTAACAAACTAACTAACTAACAACTTACAACTTTTCCTACAGAAAATGTACTCAGATATTGAACACTTTTTCAGATTCTGACTACTTCTTCCATAGAAAGAAATTCTGACCACTTTTCCTATAGAAAAGGTACCCAAACTTTTACTACTCTTCCTATATTAACGGTACTCAGATTCTGACTACTTTTGCCATAAAAATTGTACTCAGATTCAGACTGCTTTTTCTTTAGAAAAGGTACTTAGATTCTAATCACTTTTCCTTTAAAAAAATGTACTTATTTGAAGAGATATCCCATCTTTGACAAAGTACTTTTTGTGTGAAAAAGTTATTCAGATTTTTACTCAGACTATTTTTCTATAAACTATATATTTCGATTATTTTTAATTATATAAAATAGAAACAAAACCTGGCAACCCTATTACACATCTGTACTTCAAAATCAAACTAAATTAAATTACATACATTGAGATCATGCCATTTAAATGATTGCAATGCAAACGATTTTGATGATAATTACGATGACGACTATATAGTTGGACGACTAGAAGGCTGATGTTCACAAATAAACAAGATTAAATTTTTGTAAACGCCAAAAGCGTAAAATTGTTGATGACATGTGTACAAGTTTAACTACTGGTGTTCAAACATTGAAACGCATATACAATGTGAGCAATTTTATTTTTAAGCACTGACAACTGTTACAAATATTACGCAAATTCTCATCATAATAAAATTTTAAACTTTAATTCTATAAGATATTAATTTATAGAAACGTAATTTGATGCCCACAATAAGCAAAAAAGAATTTTAGATTCGGCAGTGGCGAAAATGGAATACCCTACATAAAGGGTACCGAATTTATATGAAAGGTCCTACATCTAGATCCAAGGCAACTTGGGTCCTAGGATCAAAAAGTTGCCAAAAACAATTATTTATAAATAAAAACCATACATTTATGATTCATATTAAAGCTTTAAACTAAAAATTTGTTAATTAAATTTAATTCAATCTCAAAAAAAAAGAAAACGAAATATTTAAGAAGTTATAACGGTAAACTTTTAAATTTAATCATGATGATAGCTAATTAATGGCATTGCATAACTCTTTAAAAACTCATAATAATAAATTTCAAAATCATAAGCCTATTAGAGGGATTTGCAATTGACCAAACTACTTAAACTAGAATTGAAAAGAAGATTCTAATAATAAAATCAAACTCAACTCACAACGATGCTGATGATCATCATCATCGTGATTTTGTAATTTTATTCTCGTTAAACTAGAGTTCAATTTTTGCTAAAACTAGTTAGTTTATTTACTTTATTTTATATATTAATTGCAATTTAATGTTTATGCTAGTATTTTTAATTGCAATTTAGTATTTCCTTAATTTATATGTGTATTTTAATATTTTTTTTTATTTGCTTCAGTGAATGGTGAGTCATTTGTGGTTGTTGGGTAATTGTAAATTATTACGACAATTATTTTAACTATTTCAATATTATATTATATTTTAATAGGTTTTCGTTTAAAGTGTAACATTTCTTAGTATTGTTATATAATATTTAAGGTAATATTAAGATTACTATAATAAAGTCAATAAGCTAAATAAAAATCAACAACTAGTTATTTTTTTCCAGTTAAAAAAAAGAAAAGTAATTTAAATTATGTTAATACTACAAGTTTATACTAAAGAACAGTGGTATACCGGGTCAAAGATTCTTAAATAATCAGATTATGTATACTCTTCATAAGAAACATATACTTACACTTTTGTACATTTTTCCTATAACTACCATTGATGTGGAAAAAGTATTTGGATTCCGACTATTTGATCCATAGAAAAAGTACTTAGACTCTGATTACTTTTCCTGTATCTTCACTTGCAAGATGACTAATGAATTAAAAAGTATTTACATAGAACATTTGTAAGACCATATTAAACTACTTCTATGTAATCTAGACGATATGTAGTAGTCACTGAAAAGTATGTTGTTAGGTATGTAATTACAATTGAAAGTCATTACCTAGTTTTTGCTGGGTAGATATAGATCAGATTTCCTATAGAAAAAGTTCTCAAATTCTGACTAATTTTCTTACAGAAAAAGTATTCAGATTCCAAAAATTTTCCCTATAGAAAAGGTATTTAAATTGTGACTACTTTTCCTACATAAGAAAAACTCAAATCCCAATCAAATTTTCGAAAGAAAAACGTACTCTGATTATGACTAATTTTGATATAGAAATAGATTATAGATTCTTATAAGAAAAATTCTAATAATTTTAGCACATTTCCTAAGTTAATATTATTCAGATTCTGACCATTTTATATAATTAAAATGTACTTCTATTCTAAGGTACTCAGATTATGACTCCTTTTGCTAGATTCTGACTTCATTGCTTATAGAAAAGGTAATGCGATTCTGACTACTTTTCCTATGGAAAAGGTAGTCAGATTCTGCCTAATTTTCCTATAGAAATGGTATTTAGATTCCGCATACATTACCTATAGAAAATGTTCTCAGATTCCGACTGCTTTTCCTATAGAAAAGGTACTCAGATTCTGACTATGTTTCGTATAGAAAAGTGCTCACATTATGACTATTTTTCATACAGAAAAGGTATTTAGATTCTGACTACTTTTTATGGTCATCTTTCCTATAGAAGAGATATTCCGATTCTGACTACTTTTCCTATAGAAAAGGTACTCAGATTCTGACTAATTTTCCTATAGGAAAGCTATTTTGGTTCTGACCAGATTTCCTACAGAAAAGGTTCTCAGATTCTGATTCCTATAGAAAAGATATTTAGATTTTGACTACATTTCCTATAGAAAAGATTCTCAGATTCCGTCTCCTTTTCCTATGAGAAAGGTTCTCAGAGTCTGACTACATTTCTTATTGAAAAGGAACACAGATTCAGCCAACTTTTTTATAGAAAACGTGCTTAAATTCTAACTACTAAATACAGAAAAGGTTATCAGATTCCAAATGTTTTTCTTATAGAAAAGGCACTCGAATTCTGACCAC